AATTTTTAAATAAAGATAAATTTTATACATTCAGATGTTAAAAATCAAACAATCTTAATTATTTAGTATTCGAATCTTAATACACATCTTAATACATTCAGATGTGTAATCAGATTCAAATGTCTTAATCTTCATACACATCTTGATATTCAGATGCGTATTCAGATTCAGACATCTTAATTTTAAAAAATAAATGAGGCCTTAGTCTCTTTCAATAATCATATTGGAGAGATGGACTCTATATCAGTATAACTAGTTAAATTACTCGTGCTTCACGCGGTGAGATATCATTAGATGCACAAAATGATTTTCTTTAAATTTAATAAAAGAGATAAAGTGTTTATAGTAGCAAAAAATAAAAAATAGGTAGTATTAGGGAAAAGGCATAAGTATCCCTCAACTATGATTGTGTCACGACCCGGAATTCCCACTCTCGGGATTGTGATGGTGCCTAACATTTCACTTGCTAGGCAAGCCAACGTTAGAAATAGTATTTAGATATTTTAAAAATTTAAATTAAATGATAATCAAGAAACTGAATAAATTGAGATAGAGTGAATAAACTAAAATAACAACGATACCTAGATACAATCCCGGAACTGGTGTCACAAGTACACGAGCGACTAGAGTACTACAAATAATAGTAATGAAAGCATAACTGTCTGAAACAAATTAAATAGCTAGAGAAATGTAGGGGGACTTCAGGGCTGCGAACATTGTGCAGCTGTACCTCAAGTCTCCGTCGAGCACCGAATCCGAGCAATCTACTAACCGCTGCTAGGACCGACTCCAAAATCTGCACAAGAAGTGCAGAGTATAGTATGAGTACAACCAACCCCATGTACACTGTAATGCCGAGCCTAACCTCGTCGAAGTAGTGACGAGGCTAAGGCGGGTCACTTACAATAACATGTACGCTGTATAATAACAATAATAGAAAGTGGAAAAAGGAAATGACGACAGAGCAGTTAACTAATAAAAACAAACTCAATCCTCGAAATCAGTGAATCTAGAAATATCAGTCCTCAGAATCTCATATGAAAATACTGAAAGCTAACACAATACAACAATGAGTACAATGCACACAATTTCTGTTGGGGCGAGCAACCCGATCCCACCATACAAATATAATCCTCCCTTATTTCACCATATTAATGTCAAGAATAACATATAAAATCCGTTGCGCGCACAATCCGATCCCATCATATACAGGGGCGGACCCACGTGTAAGGTTCTGGGTACTGCAGCACCCACTGACTCCGACGGGGACTTGGTATACTAATATAGAAATTTTATAAAAACTGATATAATATATTAGCAAGCACCCGTTAACCAAAAAGTCTAATGGGTGCTTTGGTTTGGAGGCTGAAGTTTGGGCGCTTGGAAACCTCAACGTCGCGAGATTGAATCCAGCCGGCAACGTTTTTTGTTTTCCAAAAATTAACACTTTTCCTTATTAAATGAATCGTTGACTTCCTTGTTTGCTTATTTATTACTTACCTTCTTTTACTTTCTTTTTCCCCATTTTTTAATTTCCTCTTGTTTACTAATTAGATGAGGAAAAGGAGAAAAAGAATCCTCCGCTAGTCAAAATATTGGTTGGCTTTCTAAAGATAACAAACCAAAATGTTAAAACAGACTTCCTCTCGGGCCTCGGCTTCTCCAGTTCTTCTTGTAGGTTTTGCAATTCGCAGGTTACAAAGTGAACAACAAGTTTTCTTGACCTCCACATCTCAAAATTAAAACACAAGGAACAAGTTAATAAGATTTGGTATTTTGATTTAAGCTAGAGATTTTGGGTATAAATAGCAATATTCTATCGAAGATATTGGGTTTTACAAATTACAATTCTTATTATCTATTCTTTGTAAAATAAATTCAGTAATTTTATTTATTATGTGAATACACCCACTGCTTGTAATTATTTTGTGGAAAATAAACAATAGTTATGTTTACTTGTCAAAAAGTGAAAAATAAATTTATCTCTATTTCTGACTTAATTTCAAAACTGATTTTCTTGGGGATAAATGTAGGTTATTAGCATCAGTTTGTGCGGTTGATGAATATATCCTCATTGGTTCAGTGCTTCAAAAATTTGTAAGTTTTCATCTTATCTTCTTGTCACGACCCCAAACCCGGTCGTGATGGCGCCCAACACTAATGCTAGGCAAGCCCGACCATTTACTCTCTCAACCCGAGCACAAAGCTCAAAACCAATTAATCAGATACTTAAAATCAAATATTAATACTCATAGTTGAGATACTCAATTAAAACAATACGAAATACTGATATAAACTGTAACTCCCAAAGACCTGGGGTCATGAGTCTAGAGCCTCTAACTAATACAGAGTCAAGAATCCTCAAAGTAAGTATGTTCTAAAGTACGAAAATAATAAAGGGATAAGAGAGGAGTCGGGTCCTGCGGACGTCATAGCAGCTACCTCGACCACTCCTGGAACTCTAGAAATCAGCGACTAGCTCAACTAAGCTCCCGAAGTACCTGAATCTGCACACAAGGTGTAGGGAGTAGGGGTGAGTACTATCGACTCAGTGAGTAATAAGCATATAAAATGTCTGAAGATAAGAAATCCACGAAATGCCACAAAGTAAAGCTAAAACTAACAGTCCAACACCTAACTACGAACCAACAGCAAAACAACTTCAAATATATCAGTCAAGTATAATGTAAGGATGCAATGCAATGCACATGACCGCTACGGCGCGTAGCCCGATCCATTTAACGTCGACGGTGCTCACTGGGGGTGTGTACAGACTCCGGAGGGGCTCCTTCAGCCCAAGCGCAATATAATCATATCATTCGCTGCAGCGTGCAGCCCGATCCATACTCAGTCCACAACATGCATATGAGTCACGTAACAGATTCAATTAATTTCCCAATTTCCAATTTATTAAGAAGAATATACTTTAGATATTTAACTTCAGGAAAAGTGACTTAGCATTTCATAACAGTGATTAAACACAGGACTGAGATCAATGATTATACAAAGCATGCTATCACAATGACATTCATCCTCTAAGGATGCTACAGATCGGCACAAGGCCCCAAACACGGCAATAAGCCCAAATATATTCAATACAGGGTGCGTATCAGTCGCCAATATAGAAACATTCTTGTTCGGGATGGACTAAGTCTTAATCCCCAGTCATAACCAATCCCGCACCTGCCATGGGGTGCGAGTCACGCCCTACAATAGCGTCACAGTGTGATAAGCCGGGGTTTCAAACCCTCAGGCCATCATATACACCAACTACTCACCTCTATCCGGTGGTAGAATGGTCCGCAATGCCTTTTCCTTTCGTATCAACCTCCTCGCGCGTCGAATCTAGTCAAAATCACAACGAATACATAAATATAGGTTAAAGAAACATAACCCAATCAAAAATACTCGAAAAGTACTAAAATTCACGAAGTTGGTAAAACCCGAGTCCCGGGCCCACTTCTCGAAAAATTCCGAAAATCACACCAACCGATTCCTCGTCTCGCCACGAGCCCGTACATATAAAGTTTACCGAAAACGGAGCTCAAATGGCCTTTCAAATCCTAAAAATTCGTTTTCAAAAACCAAGCCCTAGTTCTTCACAATTTCTACCCACTTTCATGAATTTGAGTGTTGATTCTTCCATAAAATGGTGTTTTCTAATCAAGAGACTTACCTCAAATCAATATCCGTTGAAAACCCTCTTCAAATCGCTCAAAAAGCTCTCTTGGCGGAGTAAAAAATGTTTTCTTATCTTCTGAAATTCGCGAACACTGATTCATTAAAACCCTTCAGCAATTTTCGCTTCTGCGGTCCCGTAACCGCTTATGCGGGACAGCTTCTGCGGCCATATGACCGCTTATGCGGTTTTTCATTAAATCCTTGGCCTTCCGCTTTTGCGCCCAACCATCCGCTTCTGCGGATCTCACCATTCCGCTTCTGCGGCCTCATTTTCGCCTATGCGGACCCGCTGAAGCGATACCCCGTCCGCTTTTGCGGAATTACCCCGGTCCCTCATGGAACGCTTATGCGACCTCTTAGCCGCATCTGCGGAACCGCTTCTGCAGCTCCTTTTCCGCAGATGCGGAAATACCAGAAGCCAGGTGCACCAGACCTGCAACAACATCAAGATTCTCCGTTTAACCACCCGAAATCACTCCGAGGCCCCCGGGACCTCAACTAATAGCACCAACACACCCCAAGACCTTATTCAAACTTGTTCCAATCATCAAAACACTATCGTTAACATCAAAATCATCGAATTACCACAGATTCAAGCCTAAGTTAAACTAAAACTTCCTAAACTTGCATTTGATCTAAAACCCGTCCTAAACACCTCCGAATGATCTGAAACTTTTTACGCATATCCAAAATCACCTAACGGAGCTACTGCAACTGTCGGAATTCCATTCCGACCCTCGGATCAAAATCTCACCTACCATCCGGAATTCACCAAAATCCAACCTTAGCCAATTCAAGCCTAATTCTACACCGGGCCTCCAAATTCAATTCCGATTGCGCTCCTAAGTCACAAATCATCCCCCAAAACTAGTCGAATCATCAGAAATCCATTCCGAGCCTTCTAACTCATAAGTCAACATTCGGTTGACTTTTCTAAACTAACCTTCTCATAAAGAAACTTATTGTCTCATTTCTAACCGAACTCTATCAGAATTACTTCAAATTCTTCAAACACATATAATGAAACATATAGAAGCATAAAACGGGGAAAATGGGGCGGAAACTCCCGTAACGACGGGTCGGGTCCTTACACTTCCGAAAGAATAAATATTTCTGATATTTTTAGTGATAAAGAAGTGTGATCAATTTTCCGGTGCAATGTGGTTAAATATGTTGTTATTGCTTTATTATTTGTATTGTTATAGAGGGGCATGAGTTCCCCAATACGATTTAGTTGAATTATAATTGAATTTTAGGTAAAATCGAATAAAATTGAATCTTATTCTGTTGGAATATTTCATCAAGCTTTGTGAATTGAGATGGATAGGTTTGTCACAAGAACGAATATTGGGCAACCAAGTTCTAGTTCTACTAATCCATCTATTGCTTCATCCATAGCTTCGGAAATTCAGAGGGACACATTTCTTTCTGATCTTGATTTAGAATCTCCCAACGCTGATCCGGGAGATAGAAAGCCTATTACAGAATACAACCCTAATATACGTGATGAAGTTAGAAGACATTATATTCAAAAAAGCCTTGTCAGCCTGCGAATCATGACTTTTTCTAAAACTAAGTTTGGGAGGATAATGCGTCAGTTTTGTCCTGGTTGGTTTAAGGGTCAACATTCTAAGTGGTTGGAGTACAGTATATCAAAAGATGCTGTATATTGTTTGTGTTGTTATTTGTTCAAAAATGAACATGAAAGTCATGGAATTACGAGAGATGCTTTTACAAAAAATGGCTTTAAAGCTTGGAACAAGGCTATTGAAAGATTTAAAGCTCATGTTGGTGAAATAAATAGCATCCACAACAAGTGTTTCAATAGGATGCTTGATTTAATGAATCAATCACAATCAATTCGCACTTCTTTTGACAAATAGTCTGAGAAAGAAAAAAGTGAGTCTCGACGTCGCTTAAGTGCTTCAATCGATGTGGCAAGATTTCTTTTGAGACTAGGTTTGCCATTTTGTGGGCATGATGGGAGTCAATCTTCTACAATAGAGGTAGTTTTCTTGAGCTTTTGCAATGGTATGGGGATATTGATCGGGATGTTGGAAGCATTATATTAGAAAATGCTCCAAGAAATGAAATGATGTGTTCTCCAAGTATTCAAAAAGATATTTTTGATGCTTGTGCTAAAGAAACAATCAAAGCTATCATTGAAGACATGGATGGGGATTTTTTCGGGATACTAGTTGATGAATCAAAAGATATATCACACAAGGAGAAAATTGCACTTTTTTTGAGATATGTTAACAAAGAAGGCGAAGTCATAGAGAGATTTGTTGGTATTGTTCATGTTAGTAATACATCGGCTATGTCATTGAAAAAGGCAATCTGCTCTTTTCTTTCTAATCACTCATTAAGTCCAACGCAAATACGTGGGCAAGGTTATGATGGGGCTAGTAACATGCAGGGAGAGCTAAATGGTGTCAAGACTTTGATTTTGAATAAGTCTCTATCAGCATATTGCATTCACTGTTTCGCTCACCAATTGCAATTAACACTTGTGGCTCTTGCAAAGAAGCATTCAGATGTAGATGACTTTTTTTGTATAGTTACTAATGTCTTACATATTGTTGGAGCATATTTTAAGCGTAGGGATTTGCTTCGAGTACATCAAGCTGAAAAGTTAGAAGAGTTGCTCAAATCAGGTGAAGTGCATACTGGACGAGGATTAAATCAAGAGCGTGGGCTTCAACGACCAGGTGATACTCGTTGGGAGTTCTCATTATAAGACGTTGGATAACCTTATTGTCCTATTTCCATCGATTATTCATGTTTTTGAATTTACTGCACGTGAATGTCCAAACTATGCTGACAGGATTGTTGTTGAAAGTCTTATGGGTAAGATTAAGGAATTTGATTTTGCTTTTATGTTGCACTTGATGTTAAAAGTTTTAACAATGACAAATGAGTTGAGTTGTGCTTTACAAATGATGGATCAAGATATTGTCAATGCTATGAGACTCCTTGCTCTTACAAAGCAACGATTACAAACGATGAGGAAGAGTGAATTTGGATCTTTAATGNAAGATGTCTCTTCTTTTTGTGACAAACATGATTCCAAATATGGACGCTGGCTACTTTCCTGGGAAGTCGAAGCGTAGAGCTCTTGATGTTACATATTCTCATCATTTGCGTGTCGATATTTTTTATGCTGTTATAGATTTGTATTTTCAAGAGCTTAATCGTCGCTTTGATGCTGTGAGTACCGACTTACTCCTCGATATGGCTAGCTTAAATCCCGTTAATTCATTTGGTAATTTTGATAAGAACAGAATAATGAGGTTGGCCGAATATTATCCGAATGAGTTTGATAGCAGCAAGCTTCGAGATCTCAGTTGTCAGCTTGATAGTTTATACTTTATGCCCGTGGTGTTGACAAGAGGTTCTTTGGCTTGAAGGGAATTAGTGATCTTGCTAAAGTGTTGGTTAAGTTAGATCTGCATCAAACTTGGCCACTTGTTTATTTGCTTATCAAGTTGACTCTCATTCTTCCTGTTGCTACAGCTTCTGTGGAACGAGCTTTCTCATCCATGAACTATATTTCATAACAGCATCGGTGATGAATTTTTAAATAGTTGTTTAGTTTGCTATGTAGAGCATAAGATATTTGCAAGTGTCAGCAATGATGCTATTATTCATCGTTTTCAACATATGAAAAGTCGTCGAGCACAGTTGTGAGTTGTGACTAAGGAAGTCCTTTTTTTGTAAGATAACATATTAAAATTATTATCTGACTCGTGGCTAGAAGTCATATGTGATAATGACAATAGTAATCATATTTTTCTCATTAATTTTTTTCATCGCCCCGTTCGAATAAATTGCACTTATATTATATGATTGATAGCACCTTTATATTAAAAGAAAGTGAGCACCCACGACCTTAAAATTCTGGATCCGCCACTGATCATATAATCAGAATCAATATCATAATTCTCCTTTATCTTACCATATCAATATAAAAATCACATATAAAATCCGTTGCAGCACGCAACCCGACCCCACCATATAATCAAAATCAATATCATAATCCTCCCTTATTTCACTATATCAATATCAAAATCACATATAAAATCCATTGTCGCGCGCAACCCGATCCATAAAAAAATTTAATAAATGTAACCAATCCAACAACTCAATTCACAAGAATCTCTACGATTAAAGAATATAAAAGCAACACAATAAAGGAACCCCGTACCAAATCTAGGAATGCTACAATTAATACAAAGCAACAAGACAAGCCAAATATATGATAGTTAAAGTGTACAAGTAAGACAGTTAAGGCAAGTAGCAATTAATCATGGAATCATGGAAGAAAGAAACATTTCAATACAAGAGTATATATATGACAAGTAACAAGTTACAACATAGAAAGCAATTAAAGCATGTAACAGTTAAGACATGGAATGGGAAAGCATGGAAACAATTATTTTGACGGCGTATATAGACTCGTCACCTCGCATATACGCCGTTACACACGTAATTCACATAACATACAGTTCAAGGGTTCCTAATTCCCTCAAATCAAGGTTAGACCCAACACTTACCTCGCTCCGCAATCAAATCAAAGCTCAACTGGGGCCTTTCCTCTAAAATTCACCTCCAAACCAATCCAATCTCATCAAAATCGACATAATATTAACAAACAATGCTAGGGAAATCAATTACAATACGTAAACTTAAGATCATTACACTTTTCCAAAAATCCAACAAAAGTCAACCACGAGCTTGCTTGGTCAAAACCCAATATTCGGACAATATCCAATTATGTGATTAGTTTCGAAATCCGACCTCAATTTGAGGTCTAATTCTCAATTTTACAAATACCCCCAATTCTACCAAAATCCTTAATTTTCTACCATGAAAGAGCATAAACTAAGGTTAAAAACCAATGGGTGTTGATGGAAATGGAAGAAAACGAGTTAAAGTATACTAACCTACGAAGTGGGGATGAAACTCTTCTTCAAAATCGCCTCTAGGTCGAGCTCTAATATAAAGATGGTGAAAAATGAAGAAAATCTTGTCTTTGGGATATTTTAAATCACTGGCGTCAGGTTTTCATCGCGTTCGCGAAGGACCTGACACAATGCGAAGCAATGCAGCCCAAATGGCCTTCGCGTTCCCGATGGCTCTTCCCCCTGGCAATCGTGTTCGCAACCATATGATCGCATTCACGTAGAACGCTGCCCAGCTCCCCTACAATACCCACAAAGCTTCGCGTTTGCGGAGGTCGCGTTCGCGAAGGGTAAGCACCCTCCACTTCACGTTTGCGACCAGTACCTCGCGTTCGCGTAGAGGAAATCCTCCCCAGTCCCCATCTATCCTTCGCGATCATGGGAGTAGCTTCGGGATCCTGAAGAAGGATACACCAGATATCAGCAATTGTGAAAAGCCAGCAATCCATCAAGTGCGGAAGGTTTGACCGCAGATGCGGTTCGCACCTGCGAGATTTGTACCGCAGAAGCAGAATCTGGTCTACTAAGTGAAAACCGCAAAAGCGGTTGCTTTTCCGCATAAGCGGGACCGCAGAAGCGGTCCCTTGTTCGCAGAAGCGGAAACACCTGTTCAGAAAAGGGAATTTCGAGGGTTGTGTTTCAAAAGTTGGAAAAATCAATTGAGAGCTCGGGAGAGGGCGATTTTCAGTGGGTTTTGAAGTGAAGATCATTGGGTAACGTTTTCTTAATCCCTTTTAGTTGTATTCCATCAATATATAGCTTAATCCATCATCTAATTTCGAATTTGGCATCAAAATGGGAGAAAACTTCTTAGACTAAACTATTGAGTTTTGAGCGAGCATTTGACCTTCGATTTGGGAGATTTTTATATGGTTAGACTCATGAGAGTACGAGGGTTCTGAAAACGTGAAAATTATTCGATTCCGAGGCAATGGCCTGAAGGGCATTTTGGTCATTTCACATAATTTCACGCCGTAGCTTTGAATTAAATAGCAAAACCAGTTGTTTGCGATGTTATTTACAATGTGTAATTGAATTGAATAGATTTGGGCCATTTGGAGTCGGACACTCGTGGCAAGAGCGTGGTTTCTAGTTGATATTGAGCCGGTTCGAGGTAAGTGGCTTGACTAACCTTGTGTGGGGGACCTCTTCCCTTAGGACATGATATTTGATATTTGAAAGCCTCGTACGTGAGGTGACGAGCGCGTACTTGAGCTAATTGTTGGAAATCCGTTTTTACTTGAAGTATTTAAATTGGGTTTTCCTTGCTTACCTGTTTATTTGAATTGTAAGTTTATCTTATGCTAGTTTAGAGAAGCATGTTTAGTTGACTTACTTGCTTAAGGCTTAAACTGTCTTGTTTGTACTACGTGAAGCATGTTAGGCTAGGATTTCTATTACTTGTTCTGAGGTTAGCATTTGTCCTAATGTGTTGGGCTGTTATTGTGTGTTTTAAATTGGGACTACGGGACAGCATCCCGGGAGATCCCCCTGTACTTGTTATGTTCTGGATTGAGGTGCAGGATACCAAGAGATCCCCGGCACATGTAAATGTAAGATTTGAGGATACCAAGAGATCCCTCGTGTAAATGATGAGGATACCAAGAGATCCCTAGCGTAAATAATGAGGATACCAAGAGATCCTCGGGATACCAAGAGATCCCTAGCGTAAATGATGAGAATACCAAGAGATCCCTAGTGTATATGATGAGGATACCAAGAGATCCTCGGGATACCAAGAGATCCCTAGTGTATATGATGAGGATACCAAGAGATCCTCGGAATACCAAGAGATCCCCGGCTATTACTTCCTGTTGTGAGCAGTGTTCCTTATATTGTTTTGTTTCTGCTTCCTATTACCGTTTCCCTTATTTATCCTGTTTAGATTCTTGTTGTAAACTTTATCTATACTGTTTCCCTTAACCTATTATATATTGTGTTTACCTCAGTAGGACCCTAACCTTTCCTCGTCACTGCACAATCGAGGTTAGGCTTGGCACTTACTGAGTACTGATGTGGTGTACTCATGCCCTTCCTGCGCATGTTTTTTTCATGTGCAGATCATCCAGGTACCTCTACTCAGTCGCACTATCCTTGAGGCGAGGAGATACACGGAGACTTCGAGGTATATCTGCCGCGTCTGCAGACCAGGAGTCTCTATTCTGTTCCGGCTTTAGTATTTAGTTTATTCCTTTCCTCTCAGTTGCTTAGATGTTCTGGAGTTAGAGCAGCGTACTATGTTTCTGTTAGCCTGTGGTTCCCGTGAGTTTCCGGGTTTTGGGATTTATGTTGTAGACTTCCGCATTTCTTTTGAGTTATATAGGCCGAGTGGCCTTACACTCAGCTACTATTTTAGCATGTTCAGTTTTTAATTAAATTTTTCCGCAAGTCGAGTTAATTTCCGCATTATTAGGCTTACCTAGTTGTAGGAACTAGGTGCCATCACGACATGTTCATGGAGGGTGAACTGGGGTCGTGACAATGCTCCTTGTGGAAGAGTAGTCGGGGTACTATTTCGTCGTCAGCTATTTTATGTAATGATATATTGCGTCGTATGAGTTGTGAGATAACTTGGTGAATTTCTTATGTGTTGAGGTTCCGCGTAGAGATGATGTTATATGAGCAGGATGGCTCTCGAGATTCAGATCGTATATCGCACGTCCGTTGTGCTTGAGTTTTGTAGCCTATGCCTCTATATGTCTCCCAGGGATGGTATTATTATGCACATAGCGTGCTTGTGACCGACATTCGGTATTTTGTTATAATGAGCAATCTA